GCAAAAGATCAAGCCAGTGAGAGAATATATTATTCATTAAGTATATCTCCAGAACAAGTAACAGAGGGAGTGCGGGAACAGAACTTACAATGGTCTTAGGTACAGCTGTAAAAAATTTATATACCCATTTTTATCTCTCTTTTTTTGACATCTATTTACTTCATTTGGGATAGGACTAGGCCTAGCCATCATTTTTGAAAATTAGTGTATTTATGTGTTCCCACTGTTTTCACTGTCCATGATGGGATGTGCATGTGATCATGTGAGTAGATAATGTCCATGGAGAGAGCTGGTGGTAGCTGGGGTCTTTCCTGAGACTTGTCTGTTAAATGGTCTCACAACAGAGACTGAGCTGCTCTGACCTGCAGTCATTTCTCTCTGGTGGCACAGACGCCAGAAATCCATCTGTATGCTGCCTTTGTCAACATGCCAACTTTTCTCTTACTGCTACTTCTAATACTAGCCAAACCAACTCCGAGGTGATGACAAGAAGATCTCCTAGATGTATATTCTCACTGTGGGGCTTCTGCTGACTTTTGGAGGGTGCCTCCTGTCCCCAGATTGCTGGAGGACTCATAGGATGCTGTGCTAAATGCACTGGAACAGAAGGACTCAGGGAACAGCAGTTCAAGTCAAGGACCTGGGCCTCCAGCACAGAGACAATGATAACTGAGTGGCTATTGCCAAGGGCAGCCCCCTCCCAGAAGTACCATGCTTCAGTGCACATGCAGCTTTGGCTTCTGGCATCATTTACACCTGCTGAGCTTTCCTTCCCCATGCAAGCCCCCTCTTCAGGCCCTCATTTGGGAAAGGAAAGCAGTGAGGGGCTGGTGGCTGCAGAGCTACCCCCTATTTCAAAGTGGGTGCTAAAACCCTTCTGCTCAAAGCTGAGCAGGGACATGTCAAAAGAAATCTCCTTAGGCTGGAGCCCCCACAACCAGTTTTAACCTCCTTACTACCTCAAGCAGAGGCAACTCTGCACTGTCACACAAAATTAAACTTTCTCTTCATTCTCCAGTCTAATCTCTGTCTCCACAATAAGATCTGAGGTTTAATCTGATTATGATCCTTCATATCACACTCTAACAAATGGCCCCAGCTGCCAGGCTAAGTGGTTTAATGAGATACTGTGTCAGTTATCAAACGAAAGGCAGAAGAGATACTGCAGAAAAAGGCATTGCTTGCTCAGTCCCATCCCCAGGATGCTGGGCATGGGCTACAAGGAAGCACTCATGCAACTAATGTTGTGTCTCTTCTGTAAGAGGAGAAGACCTGCCCTTCTAAGAGTTTTGATGGGGAACCATGCTCTATCAGGCAGGGTGGCAGATGCTCCGTGACTGGCAGCTGTGAGATGTGACCACAATTGTTGTCTGGCCATGAGGGTCTGAATACAAGATAGAGAAAATACAGTTTGTCTGTCTTTAGTCAGATGTTATTACATCTGATCCAAACATAAAAGCCCAAGATGTATCACATGGCAAATCAATACAGTTTTTTGTTAATCCAAATGCAATCAGACACCTTTTTTTTCTTCCTGCCTAGATAAGAGCCACCCTTTCCCCTCAGAACTGCAGCCAAAACATAATTCCCTCTCAGTGGCTAATGGCATTCATAAATTACGCTCAAGATCCATTGTTCATTTAATCCTTTTTGCTGCTATTAGCTCTGGTCACTGATTTGTTACCTCTCCAGTCTATGGCATTTTAATGACACAGCTAGAAAACAGCCAAACTCTTCAGCTTAGTGGTAAAAGCTGGATATGTGCTACAAAGAGGAATGGTGTCTACCAGCAACTCAAGGGGAAGAGTGTGGGAGAACTACAGGCCAGAGCTGTTTGTTGCCTGGGGAAGGCAGAGGGGAACAGGCTGGAACAGACTCATTGATTCTGGCCTGAGCTCAGGTCTTATGGAAATGATGAAGCTGTTGGCCCGTGGCCTCGGGAACAGGGTTCACTTCCAAGACAACCAGACCACTGCAAGCCTTTCAACCAGCCTAACCTGGTTTGCCAAGGAAATCATTGATGATAGTTGCTTTTCCTTTGAAGTTGCAGTTGTTTTTTAAGTTGTTTAACTTGACCTCTGTGTGTTCTTTCCTCTTCAGCACAGGGGTTATACTACATGGATTATATTATCAATGTGATGTGCCATTACAGGAGATACTGATGAGACTCCATCTGGAAGGCTGCAAACCAGCCTGGTTATCTGTGCAGAGATGAATTACACTCAGTGTAGAGCAAGACTAGAACAGAGGTTGATCAGAGAGAAAAAGATCACAGAGTCTGGCACATCTAGTCATGCTCAGCTGAAGGCAAGGGAGGTTATGATTACCCTTGTGATGGTTGCACAGACAGCAAACCCCATGGAGGGTGAGTAGCAGCTTGATCTGTACTGGTACAAACCAGACTACACTGGCTGTGAACACATCTAGGCTGAAAGTTCAAAGAAAGCTCCTAATGATCTGTGTGGGTCTGAAATAATCTGCCTGCCTCAGGAGCCAGGGGCAAAGTATCTACCTACCTTTGAAACTACTCTTGGTTGATCTGGGGGAAAGGACCAGGAAGAGCAGCAGATTAATTTGGTGGCTGATGACATTCCTCCCAGTCCTCACCTTTTTAAAATGGGATCCCAGGAATGCAACATTGATGTTCATTTCCTTAGTAATTTTTACTATGGATTTTTATAAGTTTCCTCTGAGCTACATTTATGTTTTGGTTCACTACTAGCTTGAAACTGGACTTTCTTAAGCTCTCCTGAAGTAACCAAAGTTTTCCCCTGGAATGCATTAGCTAGCCTTAGTTTCCCTGGAGTGCCTGCAGCCTTGTCTTCAGGGCCCCCAGCTGTGTTGGGTGACAATACTGTCACCAGAAGGAGCTATGGCCTGCCCTCTGCTGCTGGGATGTGCTACAAGAGCAGATGGGTGTAAGGCTGCCTGCAGTTGGGGCAGAAGAGGTTTGGCTGTTCAAGGTGCTGGATAACAAATAGTACCCATCTCCTCCAAGGGAACAGGAAAAATGTGCTGGGCCAGATGCAACTGAGCCATGGCTTGGGATCAGGCTCTGGACCACCCTTCCCGTAAAGTGGTGCCCTCCCAGGCTGAAGCAGGCTCAGTTCATGCTTCTCAGAGCTGCTGGCTTGTGTTGCTGCCTGATTCCAAGAGTGACTTTTCTAAGAATGAAACAAAAAGATATTAAGATTTTTAGTCCAGAAGTCTTTAAGTGGCATAAGCCAAAGTTGTGCAGCTGGTAATTACCACCACCCAGGGGAGCCTAGGAAGATGCCTTTCTTTTTTCTAATTACTACAAAGCCTTTCAATTTGATTAATTCTTTCCTTAATGCATTTCCTTGTAATTTGTATTTGTGAAGATGCTAATGGTAAATTAGACAATCTTTCCTGTGAAAAATACATTCTGTTCTCTCTATAAGCTTAGTCTCTGGTGGCATCTGTGCATTCTTCATCACCCATCCAGGAGATGCTTTCAAAGCCAGGTGCTGATCCTGTCCTTTCTTTCAGTTCAAAGATGTTGCTTGAAGCAGAACTGACAAGTACCTGTAACACAGGTACAATGGACAAAAGTGTTGTCCATTTCTCTGTGCTGCAATGGTTTGGGTCAGAACAGACTGAAACACATTTGCTACCTGGAGCTGTTTCATTTCCTTTGAATTGTGCATATTATTCCAGCCAGGGAAGTCAGATGCCAAGGAGGTCAAGGGCACCACAGCCTCCTACAGTAATGGCACAAGTTGGCCTGATAGGATGAGTGGGATCTCTTACCATGATTTGAGCACTGGCTGCTGTGTCACTATCTCATGTGACATTGCAAGGCCCTCAGATGAGTGTTGGGGGTGGGGTATAATAATTAAAAATATGTTTCTCCTCAAAGCCAGAAATCCTAGCATTGTTAAGCAGAAAAATATTTAGTGTGAAGGCAGAATTATCCTGCCTATCATTGCCCATGTCCCAGCTCTGCTTAGAGAGGCCAGGCTGCTCTCCCTGGGAACACAGCTTGCAAGGTGATCTAACTTCATTGCTGGGCACCATTTCAAACTAAAGATGGACTGTGAGGGTGAGTAGATGGTCTGTAATGCTGTAATGGCCCCTGTGTACACCTGGGTCCCATGAACTAAAAGAGCTTTGATGCGCACTGAAAAATAACCACTCCCAACAGAGCCAAAGGGGTGGCATCAGAAAACTTGTTCCGAGATTTTTTTTTTTTCAGTTTTTTTTTCTGGAGGAGGGAGAAAACAAGAGGGAGGCAGAGGAGTCTAAGGGGTAGGCACACATGGGAGTCATGGCCTTGCCCCATGGAGAGAGGGCAGGATGCTAATGGAGCAGGGCAGTGGCTACTCCTGCAAGTTCCCTCCTTCCCAGAACCCTGTCTGCACTTTGCTTGTTGGTGCTTTCCCAGTCGAAGGCTGTTGGGAATTACTGTAAGATCATCAGGAACAATAAATCCATATTCTGGCTCTTAGAGTAGCTTCCAGAATTGAGAGACTTTTTACCCAAGTTTTGCTATTTATTAGAAAGCTCCCCCATGGTCTCTTCTCTCCTTTTTGGCAAGAGAATTGAGCATTAAATCAATCGAGCTCATTTGTCTCAGCTCGATGATAACAACAAGATGCTGATTTCAAGAGCAAGATCCTGGATCGGTGTTTGTGCTTCAGAGAGACATTGCCCTCTAGTGACTAGAAGGCAGGCTGTGTAAAAAGACAAAACATCACGAGTTTTGTACAGTTTTATATGCCAGAGCAACACATTCAATTGAAATTTCTGACAGACGGAGCAATGCTGACTGTGGCAAGGGCTGAGAATACAGCAAATACTTATGGAAAGCAATGAAAAAGAGATGGAGAGAAAATGGTCATCACATTCCTTCCAGACATTCTGAACAAAGAACTTTTGATTAAACTTACTTCAAGAAAGCCTGTATTTGTCCAGATGCTCGCTTTTTAAAAAGAAAAATTATAAATATGAAACATAAAACTTCTTCTGTAGCCAAAACACAATGTGGTATCTCTTTTTGGAGGAAAATCTTGGGATGAGGCCATGATTTTGCAGTCAGGCTTGGTGTATAAGTGAAAAGCTATTTGCAGAAAGTTTACTGTGGTAAGAAATGTGACAAATATATTTGGCAAGTTTGGTTTTTTTAATAAGAGGCCTCCTGCACAACTCTCCCACAAGCACAAAAAACTGCCTCACAACAAAACCCCACGCACCCAAGCAGACCTGCGCGAGATGATGTAAGATAGTATCTCAAAGATGTCTCTGAAAGGAATTAATTCTTGTATTCAACTGCTTCCATGAACACATTAGTCCTTTCCTCAAAGCCTTTTCCCTTTGCCAGCGTCCAGCTGTATCACATCTTGCTGTTCTGGAGCAAAAGCTGCAGGACTGTTCCTATGTCTGTGGTCAGTAGTAATGTAGCTTCCATGTTTCAGTGGTGGTAAGGATACTTTCTGCAGCAGCTTATGCTAGCTGATGCATTTGCTTGTGTAAACAAGAAGAAAATAGAGTAAAAACTGATCAGACTTGGCTCAAAGAAGGGGTTCATCGTTCTGTGGTTATTTCCTGGCTTTGCTGAGTCATTCCTGGCTGTAAGAGGCTGCCACTTTGGCAGAGCAGCGGAACATTCCATGTCACGGCAGTGCAGCACACGGTGCATGCCCATGGCTTTGCTTCACAGCAGGCTGTGAACCTCAGGAGCTGAGGACTCTGGTACACAGCTGCATCCAAGTTAAGATGTCACCACCGAAACATTTCTTTTTCACCCAGCTATAAAGAGAGAAATTCTTCAACAGCAACAACTAAATCCCTAAAGGACCATATATCAGAACAGTAAAATATCAAATATCAAATTTGGGATTAACAGCTCTGAATGTTTTGCACTGTCCTTGAACAGTTTGAATTGTTTTTGCCCTCCTCTAACTTCAGAAGCCAGCCCTTCAACCATAAGACAAAATCAAGATGAAACAGGAGACATTACTTCATTGCCACAGCTGTCTGACTCTGCCTGGCAGATTGGCATCTCCTTGCGCTTTACTGGAACAGCTCAGCTCACAGGAAACAGGAAAGCCACACTTGAACAGGAGGTGTCATCATGAAACTGACACTTGTGTCCCATTTAGGGAGCCTGGAGTACAAAGGCTTAGCAAGAGAAGTTAACTGTTTGAAACAGCTCCACACAATGCAGTTACCCACGTGGAAAGGAGACCTGGAAGGTATTCCGAGGATCGGAGCAATGCGGTGCCATTTACATGGTGGGATCAGGTCTGCACGTGGTGAGATCTGATGCAGGAGACACAGGACCACGACCAGACCAGGACCACACAGCTGGGATCTTTTCTGACCCATATCTGCTCTGCTCAAAAGACTGTAGAAGACAGCCTGCTCCAGAGGCAGAGGCTGTGCTGGAGTACCACAGTCTGCCACGATGGGGAGATGCCACGCCACGGATGCGCCTCATGCAGCTCCCTGGAGCATGGGATGCAAATCCCATCTCTGCCAGCCCCCTTGGCAAAGGACTTGTTTACTTTCCTGCACAGATGTGACAAAAAAACCCCACCAAACCAAATCCAAAATCCCCCCTATCTTGGTTTAGTTTCAGCGATTTAGTAACATTAAACCCAACATTCTTTATATTAATTCTAAAGCTCTGTTTTGAAATACTAAAATTAATTTTGTTTTGAAATATCCACAAAATTAAAAGCACTGGGGGTCTTGGAGCTAAGAGCCTTTGAAAAATACTCTCCTTCTGCACTGCACCCAAAAATATGTTGGTGTAAATAACTAGGGAAGGACCTGCTCCTAGTCCAGTCTGCTGGATAGAGCCTGGGATAGGAGTGAAATCTGCTCTGTCAAAGCCCCCTGATTGTATGGCACTAACACAACTGGCAAAGGCAAACATGAAAAAGACATATTTGAAGCAATTGGAAGAAAAATGTAAGTGGAGGAGAGAAAAATGAAGAGGCAAAACCCACTGTTCCTCTTCTTGCTTCCACTGAGCTCTTCAACACTAGCAGCATGGTTAAATTCCTACTGGATTCCTACTGGAATAAGATCTCACTGAACTGAATTTCCTCTGAGAAAGCTTCCAGCTTCCAGAACACCTTGGAAATGTTCCTCTGCCCCTCTGCCCCTCTGCAGAGCTGGCCTGTGAGGTAAGCAGGCAATTAAACCCGCTGTCCTTGTGAGAAAGGCGACTGCGGCAACAATACATGTGCTAGGTTACAGAGGCAGCAGAGCGAGACTCCTTTGTGCTGCCTTTCAGCTTAGGTGCCACAAGACTGGAGACACAGAACAAGGCAGTTGCCTGCTCTGACTGACACACAAAGTTGGGTTTCACTGGCTGTAGCTTCCAGGCAGGCTGTCACTGTTGAAAGCAAATTAGATCAGCTGGGCATCAAGTGATACCTCCCATCAGTTTTCACCGCCCACCGCTGCCAGCTCCACACTTCTCTTTAGCGCTGCATGTGCCAACTGTCTCACAGAGCCAGCTGCAACATCTACTGGAAGGACACGGGGAGCAACCACAGGTGGGGAGAGGAGCTGGGGGATCCACTCGGGGCTGGGGTGAGACCTTTGCCTGCCTTAGTCCAGGCAGAAGACAGGGTTCTCCAAGAAGACTGCCAGCTTGCTGGCCATCAGGTCCAGGTCACTGGTGTTGGCATATTTGAGCAGATTGGTGTTCTTGAGAAAGTAATGCTTGAGGAAGTGCTGGCTTACACACTTGTGCAGCTTCTGTACCAGCCTCAGAAAGGCTTCAGGGAAGCAGCGCCAATCCTTGGTGCGTGGGTATTTTTCACACGTCCAGAATAGCACTGTCTGCAAGAAGCAGATGGGAGAGAAGATGTGTTAGAGGTTCTGTTGAGGGCTCACACAGCTTACTAAGGCACTTTTAGTGCTGGTAAGTGGCTGACAGCCTTGGAAATCACAGAGACTCACGCTGCTACCTCCCTGTGTTAACGTTTCTGCAATGGAGGGATCCCAACTGACCAGGAAGAAAAGCTTGCAGGTGCCTGGTTAGGATCTCTCTCCAGAAGTGCCACTCTCCACTGACTGAGCCAGGAGCCCAAGGAAAATGATCTCACTAAAATAACCTTGGCCTATTTGCCATCCTCCAGCAGGAGGCTCTGTAGAAATGCCAGGCATTTTAAGCTGTAGAAAATGACCTACTATGCAAGGGTAGAAGCCAGTAGATGCAAGGAGGGACAGAGCATAATGAGATCAACATAATTATTTGTTAGCTTCAGCTGTATTTGTGCTGTAGATACACAAAGATCTGCATCCTAAACAGACTGAGATTCCAAGAAGCTATTGCAGGTGCAAGGCTTGTCTTCTGGTCAAATGCTGCCTGTTTTTTTCTGACATGTGATACTTCATGTCTTATGTTCTATTCCTCCGAAATTACTTTATGCAGTTTGACATTTGAGAAATACATAGTTGAAATAACAAAATGCATATGATTGTTGCTCTTATAGTATTATTTTTACACTGCCTATGTTGCATTTTCTCAGACTTTCCCATGACTGACAAGAATTTTCTCAAGGAACTTAGACTTACTGTGCCAAAAAAGCCATACTGACTGCCTTGGTCAGCCTGAAATAACTTTTTAAAATACAAAATCACCTATTTGGTGTTCAATAATTCTGCTGAGTCCCTTAACTGTCCTCTGAATCCCAATTTTTTTTTGCGAATTCGGCTACCCAAAAAGAGACTCAGAGACATTTTGAGAGTGGCAGAACCACAGACTTAAACTTGTCTATTTCTACAGAGGTAGAATTTCATCTATGGTTGTACTGCTGACAAATTTATTCTCAAACAGTTTTTCAAATGTGAAAAATTTTTGTTCACAGCTGCAAAAACCACAAAGCCTTTTCTTGAATGTCACCAGGGAACAAAGACATAGTGAGGAATTCAAGCTGTAACTCTTCTGAGAGCTGCTCCTTGAAGACTTGCAGAGCAGTTACCTTCTGACACACTAAAACTACTTCAGCAGGCAGCAGTTACAATGAAGTTTCCCGAGGCAAGGAAAACAGTGCTCCTTTTTCAGTCAGGTGCCCAAACAAGTGATTTATCCCCAGCACTTATGTCCCTAACTGCCAGCTCTCTACCAACAGCACAGAGTTGGCTTTCAGAATGCACCTAGATCTTTTTGAAATTCCAGATCTCAAACTTCATTCCTATGCAGGTAAGCAAAAGAAGGGCAGTTACATGGTCCTCTCTGGCTTTCAGAGCTTCTGGGATACAGATTTCCTTTGTCACAGAGGATCTTGTTTAATCCTAATTGTCGGATACCTCTGACAGGGGGAACCTGAGAATGTGAAGAAACTTAACACTAAGCCTCTGTTCAACTGCTGGTTCAACCACTGACTGTTTCTCTCATTTTTCTTTTCTTTTTTTCCTATTTTTGTTTTTAATGTGAATAATTTTGAAAATTTTTTCTGTCTGGTAAACCAATTCTCTCTTGCTATAAAAGCCGGAACTATAGTTACAGTAAAGAACTGAAGAGCTTCTGAATAGTTTCTTACTTTAATCAAGAGTCCATGCAACAGCACTTCCTGCACATCTGCTCCCTCAGCCAGGGAAAAATGTTGTTCCTAATGGTTAAATGGTTTTCCATTTTGTCTTACATATGACAGTTTTCCCACCAGGTTGTTCTTACAGGCACTGAGGAGTTTTGCATTCAGCTAAGCTATAACCAGCCTCATCATTTTTTTTTTTCACTCCATCTTGACTTAGAGTAGTGCCATGACTGTAACAGCATTTGATGGTCACCAGCTTTTTCTTTAGGAGAAATCTTAGCATTGCATCTGGTTTTGGACACCATAAGATCAGTAACTACTGTAGGAACCTAATGGCTTGAAGCTTCAAGGTGGGAAAAATACAGCCTCTCCCTGGCAACTCCAGGAGGATGAAGTCTATCAAATGGTGCTGCCCATTGGTGTCTGCAGCTGTCAGATGTGGGGACACAGTCATAGCAGAGTCCTCTCTCTCTTCTTCACAAATCTTGTTTGAAGCCATCTTGAACCCTGAAATAGGTGTGAGGAGGCTGCCACCATGCCTTTAACTCTTTCTCTCCTTTTTACCCCAAGTGAAACACCACCAGAATTGTAGTTTGCATCTAATTCATTAATAATGCTCAACTAAGACAGTTTTGTTTGGTGCATATCCACAAAGAAAAAAATCACTGTCTTCCACCAGAGCCAGAGATGGATATAGATGGCTGGGATAGTCAAGAAGCAGGAAGTAAGTGTGCAATTACAGACAACAGTACAATGGGAAGTCAAAACACAGCAGGGGCCTCGACTCTATTTATGTTGCTGCAATCATAATGTTCCTAAAGGCCCTGGTTTCTTATTGAAGTTTGGAACACATATTTAGTGAACTCCTTGCCACCACAAAGCAATGAAAAGGTACAGCAGTTTTGAGAGTTACCTCAGAAGTTAGACAGATGCTACATTGGCTTACACCACAACATTCTGACATTACTGGATGGAAGCCACTGCAACAGATCCTGTGACTCTGTGTAGGTATCAGGGTGATGCCTACCTGAAGGTGATAAGCTGTGATGACAGGCTTATTCCCAGCACACCAGACATCTTCCTTCATCTGCCTCATGACCCTGAAGCACTTCCTGCGACAACCACCATCTTCATCAAGTCCCTCCATGAGGATGTGCTCAGCACGGGAGAAGCACAGCTGCCAGTGGTAATTAGAGCGGGCTAGGAGGTCGAAACCCAGCGACTGTGGAACAACAGGGGAAGTGTGACAGCAGATCAGAGGCAAACTTCTTCCAGCAATGTAGACTGAGGTTAACAAAAGCATGTGTGACACCTCTCAAAGCCTACTCTAAACAGGGTTAGCAGAGGCAGCAAACATGAGGTGCGCTCCCATCTTAATTCTTAGTTGAGTAAACATGCATTTTGCATTGTTTCCTTGTGTGCTGGTATTGGTTAGTGCAGGGAGATCCTGTTCTAGAGCCATCAGGCACAGTACCAGCAGTGCCACTGAAGCAGAGGCGCATAAGAGGGGAGCAGGACTGGAAGGTGAAACGGGACCTGTAGGAACTTGGCAGATGGGCTGAGCTGAAGTGCCAGAATCCAGCCATGAGTGTTGTATGGAAAGATGGGATTGAGCTGGAGGGAAAACTGCAAGACAGAAGCCCATTTGCTGAAGTCTTGCATGAGGCAGAGCAAGAATGATGCACGTCAGAGCTGTGTGATGCAGGCAGAACTGTTTGCTAGAGACTCATGCAATAAAAAGTTAACTCAGATTTTTTCTATAGAATTCACCACTGTAAGGGGGGAAAACAAAATCCAAATAAATTCCAACAGAATATTTCGAGACATTGCTTCTCTCTTTAGAGAATATATATTCTAACCCTACTGGCATCACCATGCAGTTCTTCCTTTGGTAAAACACTATCAGACACCTGAGAGATAGATTCCATTCCAGAGTTAAGGGTGTTTTTTACAGTGTTTACCTTGATGCATTGCACTTTTTCCTGAGAAGGCCAACGCTTAAGGCAACGAGGCCACCGGGCTTTCTCGGGCCAGCACGTTGGAATCTCCACAGCAGGGACCAGCTCCACCTCAACCTGGGATTCTGATGTCTCCACAGCCAGCCGGACCACTGAGCTGAAGCTCTCCAGCACTGTCACTTTACCTGTGAAAGAACAACAAGAGAAGAAAATATAGATAAAAAGGTCTTTTTCCACAAGCCAAGCAAGAGGCTGTCTAGACCTTGCAGCTCTATTGGTCTCTCTTAACACTTTCTCTTCAATAATACATGAAGAATGTAAGAAAAACCTAAATCTATGTAAGTCTATCCTGGGGAATGAGAACAGGAAGGTGAAAGAACAATGTTCTTAACTTTACACTCAATTATCATGCCTTTTTTTTTTCCTTTGTGGATCCTCTTAAACCCTAGGATCAGGTTCTTAAAGCTAAACAAGTGGTGCAACCTCACATTTCTAATGGTACACTACAAGGAGATCACTGCAGATTGGAGAGGACCAGATGAACACTTCCTATCTAAGGATGTTCTTCCTCCTTCAGAGAACCTGAGATCAGACCCTTGCCAGATCACACTCACCACTGCCAGTCATTCAGAATGTTTTGTGGGGTATCTGTAAAGTTTGTTTCTAGAGATGCACTTGCACAGAATACCAGAATTTATGGTCTGTTGTGCAGAGCAGTCACACAGAAAAGGCTAACTGCTACATCACTGCGAGTGCTGAGTGTTAAGAAGAGTTAGTTCCAAGGTGATTTGGAAGAAAGAAGTTTCCTCAGTGTGAAAGAAGAGTGGCTCATCTCCAGGAACAACATGATCTAAGAGTACAGAAAGGAAAGCAAGCTGCAACTAATGGACTTTGTGGGATGTTTCCTGTTGGTCCAGTTGAGTTCATGGAAGAAGTTTCTGTCCCAGTGACTGTGGCAGGATCATTGTCCCTTAAGCTCTGCCATCTGAGCCAATTGCATGTTCATCCTCCAACTCAGTGAAGTGAAAGCCTGAGCAGATGAAGATAAGCAGTTTAAAGAGCAGTGTGTTATCCCACCTCATTTTGACTGGCATGGGCTAAGGAGCAACTCATGAGCTGAATGACCTTGCAAAGAGTAGAGTCCATCACAACCAGAACTTTATAAACCTCAGAAAATCTATGTGCTATTTCCTTGCTGAGCCAAGCCTGGCATCAAAACAGGAACTGGTCTATTCCCAAGCTCCCGACAAGGGTCCCTAGCAGCTGAAAAGTGTTAGAGCAACCACCGTGTCAGCATGTAAATATGTTCATGTCATTTCCAAAAGCATTGCAATGCTTATTCCTATTTTTCCACTAATGAAAAGTGAGACACTTCAAAAAATTATTTTGCTGGTGCTGAAAGAATGAAAAAAACAGAGAAGTGAAGAAATCAGTGAAGTTTTTCTGTAACTTTAGCCATACTGTGGGATGAAGGAAGTCCATTTTTCACAGAAACAAACAAAAATGGTAATTGCTTCTCCTGACTTCATCTTAGCTTATCTCCTCCCAGAAGACCTTACAAAAAAGGCACCAGAATCATCAACATAAACACCACTCTCTGGGGTCTCTGCAAGTACCTTTCCTGCAACACTCAACTTTTACTCAAGAACTTGATATGACTGCTGCCCAACACAAAAACTTTCACATAAGTAAAGCCTCAGAAGCAAGCCTGTTTCAGCTGCTCTTTCCAGCCTCAATGGTGAAATATCATTCCTATCCACCTTTCCATTCCTATGATAACAAGTATTTCCTGAAAAAAATGCCATTGTCTAGCAGAGTTGACTTTAACATTTTTTTTTCCCTGTGACTACAATTAAGAGTGTGATGAGTGGAAATACCTTCTATTGCTCTGAAATACAGAAGACTCATTATGCTACTGATTAATAAAGTCATTCCTGGAAACATGCTGTGGGAAGAGGTACCACAGGAGTAGCTTGGACACTGGGGAAAAGAGCACTTGTCCAACATTTGCTTCAGTAGAAGCCCTTCTACTTAGTTCCCACCATTCCATGCTGGAAAGCTGTGGGCAGCTTTAGCTGGGCAGCCCAGAGCATTATCCGCCCTATAAATATCTTCAAACACGTTCTTCTCAGACGTACACATCTTTCCAGTATCCAATTTTCCTATACACCTTCCTTAATAATTTAAATATATTGCACGTGCTGTAGTAGAGAAGGATTGTTTTTCCCAAACAAACTCCTAAATGTTCTAAAAATCTGGGCTGCCTCTTAGCTGAATTGCAAGGGTGATGTTGCTGGAGACCCTACCCAAATTCCTAAGAAAGGAGTAACATCTTGGGTACAAAGAGCCCAAGAACTACTGAATTCTACCTTCAATGTAGGTCTGTGTCTGGCACTACAATCACTTGAAGGCTTCCTGGTTTGGGAGAGTTTTGCTCAGCTTCTGACCACGCAAGGCAAACACTCTGTGTGTGTCTGGTTTCCCTCACACCTGTCCCCACCAAACTCACTGGAGAGGTTACAGGAGACAATCGACTTCTCCACCAGCTCCCGGAAGACGATAAGGACTTTAGCTGGAACCAGATCACCTTCGATGTTCACATCCTCTTCATGCCACTGCTGAAGGCTTTTTGAGAACTGCTCCACCTCCAGCCACTGATGCAATTCCTCAGGGTCGCGCACGGAGGAGAGGAGCTTGGCTCCATGCACGGTGTAATAGCGCCAGTGCCGCACCTGGCATTCCCTGTAACCGGTCAGGCCACGCAGAGGAACTGTGATGAGGAACTGGCTGGGTGCTAGGACCTGGGAGAGTTCAGAGAGATTGAGAGAGGAGACAAGGGCAGATCCATGAACTAAAGTAAGGAAAACAGGGTAGAGGAAGTACTAGGTAAAACTGGGGGCTTGGAAAAGAAGGACAAACCATGGTATGATGGGACTAACTGAACACAGCCAGGGTTACCTTGGAGGCATGCAGACTAAAAGGAAATTGTCTCAGAAGGTGTCTGATGTGAAGCTCTTAGAAGATAAGAGCTCACTGGCTGATTTGCCACCACAACTGCAATGCTTTCCCCCTTCTCTTGTTATTTCTACTCTGTAATGCCATGAGATGTAATAACCAGCAGCTTCCAAGGAGCAGAAAGGCATGAGAGAAGATGCTTTGATATCCAGCCAAGGGAAACCCAAATAGTGCTAGCTATTATCTCAGAATTGTTACTTGAGATAAGCCCAGAGTCCAATACCAGTAATAACTATGGCAAAAAGTGCACCTTTCTGATCTCTTTCAAATTCCACTACAGACAGTAGCAAAATAAGGCTATGGCCTGTTAATTTTACAAGTGTTTCACTCTGTTTGACTGACATTTAAAGGGACAGAGACATAAGGCAAGTGACATGCCTGAGCCTACAGAGGCAGTGTCACTCCCAGAATCAAGTCAAGGTATTGGCCAGCTGTAATGTATGGAACTGCATCTCCTGATGAGCATGACAGAAACAGTGTAAGGATGGAGGCAGCAATCAATAGACAAGGAAGCCTTAAACAGGCTTGTTTGCAAGCCAGTTCATTTGCCTCACTTGGGGAACAACCATTTTCCAATAAAAAACAGTTCTGAGACAGTATTTGCAAGGAAAGAATGAGGTAATTCAAATACCACAAAACATCATCTGTCTGGCCCAGGGCATAGACAGACATGTCCAAGTGCTACTTTGGAAGCATCTGGCACTTGTGGTTCCAGAAGGGGTGTTAAAAGTCCTTCAGATTTTTACCATGTTGGTCTTAGGAGCTTTTCAAGTCCTCTTGCTACCAAGCCTAACTTACAGTGGCATAAGTAAGGTGAAGCTGCTGCATGAGCATGATGTGAAGTGACAGCCACTGCTGCGAGGTGGTTACACCCGTGGTGAACAAAACACGCTTGTCACTCTCCTGTAATTATCCAAAACACTCTGGTACCCTTCCTCAGCTCAGCTGATTTAAAGTATTAGCACAGAGGTGCCAGGGCCCTGAGGGCACTAACAAGCTTTATTGTCCCTAAGCAGCCTTTCTGGGACTTCTATCCACACCTTCTGCCCATGGGTCTGAGACCCCCATTTCAGGTTAGCCCTGGGCTCCAGTGAGTGGGGGAGTGGCGTGACCTCAGACCTGACTTACCAGCAGAATTCCCTGATGATCCAGAGTCTTGGCTGACCCAGCTGCCCTCCTTGTGTCTGTCTCACTTAGGGACCATAGGGCAGGAGCTGCCTTGCTATGCTCCCCTCCTGCCTCTCTCTCTCTCTCTCTCACAGGGAGCAGCTGGTCTTCTCGGCTCGCTGGCAAGAGATTTAGAAAATAAAAGATGGCCAGCCAGAAGCACAGAAATAGCAAGGAAAACACCAGGATGCTGCTCTTTTATCAAATATAAACCATAAAGGCAGGAGGATGCTGAGAGGATGACACTGAAGATCAAGCTAACCTGCATACTTCAGGTTTGGTGGGGCTGAGAAATCCTGTGGGAAGCTCAGAAACAGGGTAGTAGGCTCCATAAGGAAAAAATACAACGGCTGTCATGCAGTTACTGCTCCTCTCACAGCCTCAGCCACATTTACAGGTAAACAACCAACCCAACCCAACCCAAAATGCTGTCTTGTGTGCACTGGCACCCAATAGATTGCAAAGGGAAGAGCTGCACATGTTATGTGAGTGCCTACAAATGCGAGTCACAAGCGTTCTCCACCTGGGGCTTGCCAGAAAACAACAGAATGCACAAGGCTGGGATTAACACTGTAAAACTGGGCAGTTGGTGTCTTCTTGGCCTAAACAAATCCCAGTCCCCCACCTATGCTCTGTCACACAGTGGTCTCACACACTATGTGTAGGCCATGGGCCCCAGAAAGTCACAGACTCGAGCAAGGGTCTCCAATACTGGAGCATGTAACTTGTGGCCAGTTCTGCTGTAGTAAAATCCTGTCTAGAGTATGCTGGGCAAATAAAATGCAACCTCATTCTTGTGAACCCGGCCAGGCTGTTCCAGGGAGACAGAAACATTAGGTTAGAAAGAAAATAATTATGCTTTGAGGAAAAAAAAAAATCAAGTCTCTTGTGCAGAGGACAAAAAAGTCATGGAAGGATCAGTTTGGTGGGTGAAGTTGTCTGGAGAAGGGGGTGTGTGAGGAGGAAGCAAGCACAGGGATTGTCAGGCACCAGGAAGGCTTTGTACCTGGATGGATGGGTGGAATGGGCGCTTCCTCCGAAGCATAGCTGACCACTTGGCCAGTAGAGCTGGCTGATCCTGAGAGAAGCAGAAAGGAAGACAAGCACACAGAATAGAGAGAAAGCATGTGCTAGGTCATTCATTCACAGAGCAAAGCTGCAAGCTTCCCTGGATTCTTGGAGTTTGTTAAAAGAAAATCCCCCCATTGCCCCCACCTTGATTAAACACTTGGCAATGCCACTGGGCAGTGCACTACCAGTGATTAGTCTGGACCTCTTTATTATAATTTTACTGAAGCCTCCACAGCTTTTGTATCAGCCCTGCACAGTTGACAGCTCCAAAAATGGTGGGCCAGAACAAAAACAAACACTTAGAACTTTTAAAAATGAAATAATCTGTTTTGTTCTTCTGAATTTTCATTCAGGTTTTTCATTAAAGCATGACTTTTTGTTATGTGGGTCACAGGAAAACACTGAATATCTAAAGATTTTTCTTAACTATTCTCCACTCAGCCCTTCATATTAAGAAGGGATCTTGAAGCTTCTCAACAAATATAGATCTCTCATCATGTTAAATTGATTCCTTTTAGCCAGAAGCTGAAAGTTCTGAAAAATCCTGTAGATTTACCCGACAGAAAAAAACATGTGAAATTAGACATGGAATAATGAATACATTGCCTTTCTCAGGACACAAGTCTCCTCTGTGTTGAAGTATGTCAGCAACAGTATTAAAGTTTCCAATTTTTGGAAGTAGACAGTCCAAACCAAAATAATTTCTCATCAACCCATTGTTTGGTGCCCCACACATACAGGACAGGTAGGTCCTCCTAGTGTTACTTCCACAGATTTGTAACACTGGGTTCAGTTAAGCATGAACAACAAATCTGCACTTTTAAGGAAATAGATTTTGAGGATTTCTTTCAAGCAGAATTTGTTCAGATCTGCATACTATATTGATGCTCAATAGATTGCCCTGGTGGTTTTGTTCTGCTTTGCTTTCCAGAGCAACAATTTTACCCTGACCCTGATCCTGTCAGTCCTTATTAGCCAGGCAGGTTTGTTCCAGCACAAGAGGTAGCTGGCAGAGTCTGGCACTAAGGAACTTGTGGACCAGGATGTGGCACTGTTTTACGTCACTGTGGCCATACTTATTGACAAGACCACATGCTCTGGGATACACGAAATCCCAGAAAAGCTATGAATCTGAATGTCTTTCTCCCAGGACAACAGCCACATTTCAGACTGGGTGATTATATTTTGCCTCCACCTCCATACCCTTCCAGAACCTTCATACAAAGACTTCTTCCCTTTCAGTCCCAGAGAGCTGCAAAAGTTGCCTCGTGCTTTTATGTATTTGCTGTGTTTTGATCTGTAAATGGCTGTGGTTCAGTATAATGGTATTGACATTAGTATTTCAACTAGTTCAGATGACAAAAATTGTTTTCATCTGAAGTTGCCATTGCTGTGATTGTTCTTGTGTCTTTACTAGTTACTTTTGTGTAATGGAGTCATAAGTAATAAGCAGCCTTCTTCTGTCACAGCTGGGACAGGGCATTATTATTTTCACGTCTGAAGGTCTAAAACAGGGAGGCATTTCACTTCTCCCACTAAGAATTTTTTTTCCTAATAAAAAAGAAATTCTGATCCACGACAAGGAAAAACTGTATTTTTCAGAAGGAGCTTTCTAATGTTTATAGCAGAAGAAGGATTTTTAATTTTTCTTTCATTTTTTTTTTAGTGAGTTGACAGCTTTTCCACCTGTGAAAAATATGGGTCATAACTCATTAAGGCATGAGCATGTTTTCTTATGTTATTGCTGCATAAGTTTTTTCTTTCTGTCTCCCAAAGAGCTTTGGCTTCTGTTTGTGGATTGACAGCTCTGGCAATAGATGCTGTTTGTAAACACAGCAGCTGTAAGAGGCTCTGCCTGATTTACCCATCTCTGTTCAGTGCTCCTCTGGCTGTGAGAAGTCCATGAGTGAGTGCCAATGATCCAGTCACTAGAACTCCACAGTGAAGTGTCTGTGGTGTTTTGGGTGAGGTACCTGCCCATACAAACACTTACATAATGGAGAGATCACTTTCTGGTTGCCTACAGGCTGCCAGAGAGTGCATTAGAGCTCTTGTTCATACCTTAATGTTCTCATTGTGAATGCCAGAGTTGGAGATAGCCTGGAATCGCACAGCCTTGTAGCTGATTTCTGCGGTCAGCTGCTGGATGATTTTCTGCACCTCCTCCACCGCTTTGGAAACCAGATAATGCCGTCTTTCCACCTGTCAGTTCCAGAAAAGACACTTCATGTTACAGGTAATTGCAGTTTTTGTCTCCAGTGGGAAGCAGACAAATCAGCTTAAGGCATCCTGAAACATTTGTGCTTGTGCTGCACTGGGAATAAAAACTGTCCCCCTGTGTATTGGAACCAATTTACTGTGAGACAGAGCTGTGAACACCAAAGGGTCAATATTCAAGACTATTAAGCATTAATTGATATTTCCATGCCAACACCACTGGATGGAAGGAAAGGAGTTCATTACACAGACAAATTTGTTATCAACTACAGCTACAGTCTCAATTCTTCATCCATTTGATCCAGAATACCCGTTACTCCCCTGAATATGGTAGCCATTCTCAAAGTCAGGATATGTTCCATTCCAAGAGTTGACAGGACATCAAGAGTTACAGATCTGTCCATAGTCAGGTGGTAGATATATGTGGTATAATTTAGATGCCTACCTTATACACTGAAAGTATCCACACTGTCTTTATGGCTGAAGTTCAGATGAGACTCTACTCCTAGACAGCGTGAAAGCATCTTTCCAAAGCTGGTCCCGTTGGGAGCTAGGTGTTTGTGTTGCTTAAAGGGTAGTTCTTCAATTCAGGAAGTAGTAGCATAATGAATTATTGAAAATTATTTCAGTGAAATGTCTGAGTCTTGGGAGAACTGAGGTGAAGGGTGGACAACTCAGAAAAATATAAGATGAACCTGAACCTTCACTAATGACTAAAAATGAAGGGAGCATAGGGGGACTGTCACAATCTGAACAAGGAGATTCAACAAGAGGAATATGAAGGAAACATGTTAGTAAAGGACATTTAATATTTCCCAAATATCCTTACACATTTACCAAAGTGAGGAGATTCAGCTACTGTTAATGAAGTTCATGAACATATTTGTCATTACTCATGCAATGCAGAATTACTTATGCAGAGTGAAATATTAAGACTGTTTACTGTTCTTTTTTGGATCCTATGCTTCATCTCATTTGGTTGCAGCTTTTGCTTTCTTCTTGATTCTTCTTTTTCCTCACCATATTCTACTGAACATCATTGTTTGCAGGCAAGAAAAAAAAATCAGAAACGGAGTTCATCACTTGGCTAAAGTGAAAGATAAAGCATAAAGCAATTATAATGAAATAAATGATAATAATTAATAATGATAATTATTAATTAATAATGATAAAGCATTTGCCAGTCAAACATAATTGCTACAGTCTTTTGTTAGTATCAAAGACCAAAAGGAAGCAAAAGCCTAAATTAAAAATTCTGTATTGTGAGGGTGGTGAGGCCCTAGCACAGGTTGCCCAGAGAAGCTGTTGATGCCCCATCCCTGGAAGTGTTCAAGGCCAGAATGGACAGGGCTTTGAGCCCTGGTCCAGTGGAAGTTGTCACAGTCCACGGCATGGAAATTGCACTATATGATCTTTAAAGCTGCCTTCCAACCCAAACCAGCCTATGGCTTTCTAAAATTCCTGTGTCCTATTCACTCAGCATCTTCTTCAGCACTTGAACAACTCTCTTTCCTCTTTTAAAAAATATCATTGACAAGCATTTCTTTAAAAGTCCTTTTGGACACCTTTATGTCAAATGTTGAACTAACAGCCAAAAACACTCAAGTGTGTTGAAATGTGTCCCCAGAGCCTGGAAGGGGATAAATAGATTCACTTCTTCACACAAAGGGACTATTCAATGGACTAAAGTGGACTAGTGCTTGCCTTACATCCATTAACCCATGAACAGCAATTGACTAATACTGAACTTGAAGATGAGCAGAGTTTGAATACCTTCCTCCCTCAGACAACAAAGTTAACAGTACTTTTACTAAGCCTGAATAGCTTTTGGAAGAGAGAAATATGTCAGACAACAGCACCATAATCCCTTGACTCATCCACACTTGACATCCTGTTTCTTTGCTACCTTAACACCATGTAGTCCTTTACTTTTATACAATGTCCTTTAATTTCCCTAGTAATTCACCGTCCTCCTCATTCCAATTCATCCTTTTCTCTAAGAGCAGTTTTAGCTACTTACATGTACTAAAAAAAAAACAACCAAACCTACTGAAAAATTTTAGCCCATGTTCATTTTCACCTCCTCATCTCAGCTTTCATTTATGGCACTTCTCCATCTGTATCTCTACTGTATCTATTTTCTCCACCTTATTTTTGTTCATCCAGAACAACTCCTTAGAACAGTCCAATAAGCTTGACAGGATACCTAATGGTTTCTTCAGCCAGTGAATGGTGAGTTCCAGAGAAAGTTGTCCATGTCTAAGACCTTTCAGACAAAAAGTAGACTTTTTTTAAACTGAAAAGTATAAAAAGGATACAGTCTCACAGTGGGTCAGCTCAAACGGAGACTAGAGTGCCCTCTGTATGCAGTGCTCATGCTCTGCTCTCTCTAAGGGGCACCTGCTGGAAACATTTCTTGCCACCTCCAGTATCCAGGGAGAATCCATTCAATCCAGCCCGGCCTCATTTAATTCTGCCTTCATCACCTACTGGCTAGGCTACAGCAGTTGTTATGAATTCTTTATAAGAGTATGCACTCAAAAAAACAGTTGAGGGAGTACCACTGAACTCCACTTTCCATGGGTGCTCCCCATCACTGGAGCAGGGATTAAAGAACAATGGGCATGTGACTGACAGAGGGTGCTCACTATAATTAGCTAACCATAAGTAGCTCCCTAATCATCCTGTTGGAAAATATAACCTTCCTACAGAAGGGAGGGCAAAAAAATCAGAAAACAGAAAGTGAGTCTGAAGAGCCAAGGCATTTATCTTAGGTACTTCTAGTACCAGCACAGACACACTGGGAGAAAAGACATTGTAAGGTCTTTGCTGGACAGTCACTTCTGTGACTCACTGGCCTTCCCCTTACCAGGTCTTAGGGAATTGTGCTAAAACAAATGCACAAAACCTGAATAACCAAGTCAATTAAGGTTTTATTAAGGAGAAAGGAAGCAGGATTGGGATTCATTAGGAACTATTAAGATCATTTGGGTTTTCTCTTATTTACCCAGCCACATCCACTCCATAGGCATTCGAATTTTTCCTTTGATGAGTGGCTTAAGGATGAAATCTCTGGTATTATAGAGATTATTGCACCAGGTGGTTGACCTGTTTCCAAAAACAGGCAGCATTTGATAAGCTGAACTGCCTGAAGCTGGACAAGAGACTCAGGAGCAGGCAGAAACTAAGAATCCATCAGAGCTGGAGGGCTGCTAGAAAACAGACTTCCAGTATAACCTAAAATATTGGCAACTATGAGCCTCATTTAACTACAGTCTGCTTCTGTTCCTTGTACTTATCGCTGTCATATGAGCATTTTCCTGAGCATGGCTTCCCTCTGTTCCCTCCTTTGTAGCTCTTCTTTTTAAATCTTCAGAGAAACATTCACTGTTATAGCTCACTGAAGAGATTCACATGGAATGATTTTCCTGTGCTCAACACCGCATGCCTGAAGAAGGTGTATTTCTGGGACCTCTTTTATACTTGCCACAGAGAAAACAAACCTTTCTTACCAGCCTCTTCATTGTACTAGAATATGTGATCCTTTACAGAAAATAAAGCCTCACACTTTCTCATTTTGAAATTATTTGTCACTTTGGTATCTTGCATTTTGTTGGGGAAAGCAGACTATAAAACAGGATCTAGCTAAGTACTGCCACGAAACATGTCAGCTTTAAAAAATGTTATGGCTCACTTAGAACTTTTATTAAACAGTATTGTTTCACAGAAGATTTTATTCTGTTTTATTTCATTTCATAATGGGGGAAAAATTGAGTGTTGGAATATCTTATAAAATAGAAAATGAGATTCCAGTCTGCATGTGCTAATGAGACATGTTATTTTAATCATGATATATAGAGAAGTATCCTAAGCTGAGGTGACAGACTGATGACTGAATTCTAACAATATTGGTCTGTCTCTGCAGTTCCTACATGAATCTTTCTTAGAGGCAACGCCTGGTGTCGGTCTTGTTTTGGTCAAGCCAAGACCACCAGACAGGGAGAGAGGCAAGGACACTTCCTTAGATTGAAATGCTGGCAATTACAGCTAGCCTCACATCTGGAATTCCAGATCAGGAACAAAAATTCAGGATACCTAGGAGAAGAGGACAAGCACCTTGAAAATTAGGCTACCAGGAGATAAAATTCTGCAACAGAAACCTAGAAATCTCATTAGAAATACAGCTCTCATGAAACATCACCCAATCTTGTCTCTGAAATGAAGACAGGAGGCGAGCAACTAACTGTTAAATTTGGCACCCTTCAGAACCAACACCTAGTGTGGGAGACAGAAAATCTGGTCAGATAAAGTCTTACCTTGCTCTGGATGTAGATTTCTACATCTTCATCTGTGAATGGTTTCATGGCAAGATGGTCTTCGCTGCTCTTTAAAGTGTGAATTCACTCTTCACTTGTTCACCTGCCTCTGGAAGTAGAGGAACACTCAGAGAGAGCTGCTCAGAGCCTTCTTGCCCTGTGAAGCTCAGATCACCTAATATCTCTGTGCTGTGGATGAGTAAGAGAAGATAGAAGCAAGGAAGCATGCCTATTTTTAATAATTTTCTTTTTGTGGTCTGAGCTACAATGGTGGCATCCAGATCATTCAGAAAACTATCTCCAAATATTATTCTCTAAGCTCAATTATTATTATTCATCTTACTGCTTTTAAATGGTGGATCTTGCATGCAGGCATACACAAAAATATCCCAGCAACTGCTCTGTGTCAGGGCAGATCTGGAAGTGCTTTTCAGATTGCAGTGCAGCCCCAGTACATTCATGCACAGCATTATCACTCTGCATGCCACTTGTACGTCCCTGCCTCGCTAGACCTTCACTGCATCCTTTCCTAAATGCTCTCAGTTATTCCTTGTTGACTAATCCACTCTCTTTCCATCTGAAAATGCAGGGGTATTTTTACACTCAGATCATTCACTGGGGTTGCAGTCTGCAACCCCTGTTCCCCTCTCCTCCCCTCTCCTTATATCTCCTCTCTCTCTCTGGCTGTATTGACAGTAAATATTATACAGCCTGTCCCCTCCTGCAGCTTGCTTCGCTTTCTTTACAGTAAACAGACAGAAAGCTGCCTCTCGTTTTCTGCCAGCAGCTCAGCTAACAACCCCATATGGATGATTCAGAGGCAAAAACAATTGATCAGGCCTCATTGATCCAGTGAAGCTTGGTGGCTTTTAGAAAGAAGGGTACATCAGCACATGGAAGGGAGTGACAGAGTATAGAGATGAGATCCCATGCTGCTAAGCATTCCTTATTAAGGAAGGCACACTCCACTTTTGGGTAAAATCACTATTTCCCCCTGGAAAACGAACTTTGACATCGCTTGACCAATTTACTGCCTCTGCAGCAGCTGGCAAAAGGCAGCACCTGGGTGAGCACAGGGTGCTACTTCAGGAGAGGCACTGTTGTTGCTAGTTATCCTTCATTACGTCCTTCATTAAGTCAAATATGAAGTATATTAATTTAACTAAATAATTGGAGCACAAATACCTGCAGGACATCTGCTTCCCCAGCCCCTACAAAGCAAACCTTTCTCTGTGAGACAGCTGCCATTGTCTTTCTGCTGAGGAACTTGAGCACTCCTTCACAAAGACATGTAGGCATTTACTTCCCAAACCAGGTTCCACTAGATTGGGCACTGAAAAAGATTTTCTTGGTTCCCTAAAGTTTAGGGACTCATACCACATTTTTGCTCACTTCAAGACTTACTGGATATCTTTCCTCTGAGGGGCCAGCAGTTTATGTGAGCTCTGCTAGGGAAACCAGATAAAAGGCAGGGTCTGAAAGAAGGTAAGTGGAATAATAGGCTGGAACAGAACTTGTAGGGGCTGGTTGGATGGGATTATATCCAAGCAGAGTGTACAAGAGAGGAGAATTAGCCTTTTAAATGGTCAGATGCCATTATTAGCATGCCCCTAAAACATTAGGTCCCTTGCACCCCCTCAGATAGCCAGCTGCACATACAGCAGATAACTTCCTTAACACTCTTGACACCACCACACATTAATACTCAGAACCTCAGATGTGTATTATGAAGCAAGGAGAGATTCAAGGGTCTCTCTCTCCTATAAGGTCTCTCCTTGTGACAGCTGTCCAGAGACATGGTGCTGGCAGAGAGATGAACTGGTTTTGGTAATTTTTCTTCTATATAATAACATATATTAATAACATATCTTTTATATAGTAACGTATCTTATATAATAACATATAATAATATATTATTATTATTATCATTATTATCATTATTATCCTTATTATTATTATCCTTATTATTATAATCTATCCATTATTTCCATCCTATAAGTAGCACATATTATGCTACTATTTGGCTGACAGTAAATACTACAACTGATACAGGCCTTTACACCACCAGCAATCAGCAAAATACAGGTTAGAGTGGTATGGGAGGCAGCAGCCAGTCTTGACCTCACAAGAACTTGTGTTCATCACATGAGGACCAAATAGCATAGAATGCAGCAGAAAAGTAGAGGCAGATGGCCATGTGTGAAGAGGGAATGTTACTGTGGGAAAAGCCTGCATCAGAAGGAAAGAGTAAAGAGAAAGGACAGAGCAGAAATCAGAACATCTGCGTAGATAAAAGAGGATGTAGACACAAATTGGGAAGAATCCAGGCTTCTCCAGTGAGGCCTACTGAGCTGATATAGTGGTACTGCCGAGAAACCTCCATCGGATGGGTCCTTCTCAGGAACCTTCTACCATGACAGTGCTTGTATACAGTAAGGCTAAGGTGGAGAAAATCTGAGATGGATCCAAGCTCCAAAGGCTGATAAACACAGTCTCCTGAGAAAATATTTCCTCTGAGCCTACAACAACTTAATTCCCCAGGCACACCAGCAAGAGGGAGTGAAGAATGGCTATTTCTTTTTCCTCGCTCTTCAAGAAGCACGGAAGGAAAGAAGGAGAGCATCAAGAGGATGAAGCCAGGCTCTTCTCAGTGGTTTCAAGCATCAGGACAAGAGACAATGGGCAGAAACTGATGCACAGGAAGTTCCACCTGAATATGAGAAAGAACTTCATGAATGTGGGGCTGATCAAGCAGTGGAACAGGTTGCCCAGAGAGGTTGTGGAGTCTCCCTCACTGGAAATATTCCAGAACTGTCTGTATGCAATCCTGTGCCATGTGCTTTGGAATGACCTTGCTTGAGCAGGGAGGTTGGACCAGATGACCCGTTCTTTTGTGAAAAGCTCACAATGGCTTCATGGAGATAAAAAGCACTCTGCTGAAGCCAGGCAACCATGTGAAGACAAAACCACAAAAGGTCTCTCCAGTCCCAGTTAGCTCACAATCCATCAGATATCATGGACATGAGCACTATTGAGAGCTTTTGGACTTGATAAATTTGGCAAATTGAACTCCCAAGTATACTTGTTTCTAAGGAGATTCTCATCCACACTGAGAATGGCTATCTTTTGACACCTCTGAATCCCTTTCTTTTCTAGTGATTGTTAGAAGTG